CTCGGTATTTCGGCAGATATGCAGGTCATACGATGTTTTGAGTCAAAGTAACACATTTAAACAGTCTCATAGAACACATGATGAGAACACAAAAATAGGCAAACAAGCTCGTTTTCGGTGCATTTTAATAATGCTATTACAACAAAACATATATATATGACCAGTTACATATAGAAATTTACAAAGGAAAATAAATTGAATTAAAATGTTCAACAGTTTGCAACAAAATTGGTACCCACTTTACATGCGGGTGACCTGAATTCGTTCTACTCAGCCAAGCCCCTAACCCGATTTGCATCTAGTCCGTTGGTGTGTCTACGGTTGAAAGACAGAGTATCCGATCCTGCTGCCTCTTTTTGTGATTACTCGTTCACTTGCTCCAGTGAAGCAAATTATGTTTGCCGCACTACCAGAAGTTGGTCTGAGTGGATCCGCGGGCATAAACCCGGGCTTATCCGTTTTGAAGGAGCCAGCCGTAGTAAAATAGTAATCCTACGTGGTTGCGAAGTGGAGTCATTAGATCAATCACAAGTGTTGTGTCACGGTCTTGTGGACACTAAACACATCACAAACGTGACCGAAGCGTTCCCAGTACCGAGTTCGAACGGGGTGGTCTTGACACGTGCGGTTCCGAATCCAGCGGAGGCAGTCACCATCTGTTTCCACAACCTCACTTTTTGTTCAAAAACAAACTGAGCAAGCACTCAAGCTCCCATAGCCTGATTGCTAACAAGCGACACGTCATGCAATATCTCAACGAATGACTCCTAGCGAATTCAAGTAACCCGCATATATATATATATATAGTGTTGTAATCGTATGATCCACTGAGAACGAGCTTATTTGCCAATTTTTTGTGTTCTCACTCTATTGATATTATGATACGGATAGAAACGCTAATCACTTTGAGACACGAACGAGGTTTAAAACCTCTCCGAGTGAAGATTTTCCACAAACAACTCTTTAATTTGATCACTGTTGACACACAAGTTGGAGGCTCGTTCATCATGCATATAATGGAAGTGGCTGTTTTATACAGGATTAGCCAAATGCACGCACATGCACAAACACATACACACACTTCTCGGTTCAGTCCCAAAAAATCGATAACTTGGAAGATGTGTGAAATCGATCACTGTGTGTTAAAAGTTCAAGTGATTACACATGTGTTGTGGGGTGGATGAAGTGGCCCGAGGAACACGAGTAAGGGCAATCGGAGCTGTTAAGAAGTCTACATCTGCCGTTCAAAGGACATACGGAGGTGGAAATCTTTCAAAGAAAGTTCACGGCGGCAGTAAGCGGAACATTTCATGCTGCACAAGTAAAGGCTGTGTTCACATCTAAACCGATTATGTGTTTCCGACTGAAGGACATAATGCCAGATTGCGTGGCCTCTTTCTGTGTGTATACTCATTCACCTGTCCCTGTGGGACTGAGTACATTAACCACATGATCAAGCACTTATCCGATCGCATTCGCCAACACCACCCGATTTGGCTGAAGACTGGGACAATTAAGACAATTACGAGCGCGGTGTGCTCGCATCTGGCTGAGTTCAGTCACTCGGTGGATGTGGTAAATGCGTTCCGATCGATTTACAAGGTTCNAGTATGTATTCGGATTAACAGCCCCCCCCCTCCCTCCCTCCCCTTGCGCTTCCAGCAGAAATTCGTGCAAGTTTGGTAGATGTGGACCTGAAAGGGAGAGAGAAGAAATGGTTTCCCCAAACCACTCCGACTGCCATCTTGGTAATGATCAGGGAAACGGTTCCGTCCTAATCCCACCTTGACACGGAAGTGAATGGTAAGATATACCAAAATGGTTCGCGAAACATCAAAGAATAAATTGCAGAATATTCGATTTTTGACCAATGGTACCTTTGTGTCCACTACGGTTGAAAAATGTCCAGTGTCCGACAAAGTGATTCCCCCCCCCCTGCTATGAAACTTTGGGACAATTAGTTTGGGGGTGCGAGATCCTCGTTGGATAGATAGAACCATCAGGCTTCTTTAAAATAATGGGTTCATTTTCAGGAGAAAAAAGAGAGCAGGAAACTGTATTTGGGTATGATTGATATCGGTTTTGCCCTCACTCTGCCTTACTCTCCGATTAGGAGCCGTATTCTGAAATATCGAATTAGATCCACTAGGTAGGGAACATAGCATACCCATCTAGCCAATCTGACAGTTCTACCAAAGCAAGTTGGTCCTCTTTACTTGTAGTGTGCCTGATGGTACGGTGAAAACCGGACCATATCAGACTCTTGCCGAGCATCAATTTTTCCCAAAATCTAAATGTATTTTCACATTTTCACTCCAGTACCAACGCCATGTGACGTTTGTTTTATACGATCGAAAACTGCTGTATCCTTCCACCAAGGGAACTTGCACTTTTTCGCTTTCGCTCCGTTTGGCTCGTTATCACGCTCGTTGGTTCTCGTGCCTTCGGGCCTTAACGCAAACGTTCGTTAGCCGGTACCGGTGCGTTCTCTGTACCACGGTATCTCAATAAACTTCTTCAACAACCACAAGTCTTCTGGTTTAACCAGCGGTAACTTGGTTGTTTTGCGAGCTCGGGATCCCGCTCTGAAGTGCGTCACGACAGGCCGTAGTCGACGTTTCTTCACACTGGCCCGACTCTGCTTTTTTTGAGCCCTTCAATCCGGGGAGAACGCAAACATGAACAGTGTGTGGTGCTCGACTGAGAAGGACAGGTCAACACGATTAGATCCCAACAAATCAAGTGTACACTGGGGTGGAGTTTATTCATAGTTCCGTTTCTGATGGTGATGACAGAGGTACACATTCTCAGGGCTATTTGCACCGAGAGATGGCAATAGGTTGAATGGCATAATCTGGTCATAGCAATTTATAAATAAAGCGGTTATCCTCGCAATCATTTATTTCCACAGGAGTGTGTTCTTCCTCTCAGTCCGTGGTACTGTAAGTCGAGTCTGGGGAAGGACAATAAAGTAGAGTTCACCACTGATAAGTCTTGAATAGGACATACTAGTGCCTCGTGTTCCTCGTCGGCCATCGCACATACATCCTCCTATCATGATTGTGATGCGTATTCCATATTTAAGGGGAACGAACGAATTTCTCTCAAAAGAAACTCACAACTAATTTGTGGTCATCCGTAAATCACTTACTTAGGAGCCATCTTGGACAATGAGCTTAGTCAGCGTGAAATCTGTTTACCACAACGGACCGAATTGGAGGCTAAAGATCCTTGGAAGTCACGTGATTCAATTTATCTGTACTATTCACACTGACTGCCATATTGGACACGCTTACTGCCGTGAATTCGGCAACACCTTCCGCAAATCACATGGCAATACGTGACATAGTTTTTAGACAAATCGCATGCAATTTGAGACAAAGTCAACGATATCTGAACGGTGATGCCCTTTTCCAGTGACAACTGTTGGATCCCAAAAAGCGAACCACATTGAAACGGTAGAATACATTTTAAAGCTTTAGAAAATTCCAAGAGAATTTCGTTACTGGAGACTTGGTTTTACATTTAAACTATTCGCAAAGTCACATATTGGCTTCTTGAATCGATAGAAGAACAACACTCAATCAATTGACCATACACCACAAAGTATACACGCACAAAATCCGCATTTGCGGATTTAGTCTGATGACCGTATATATCGCCCTGCTAGTGGCTAAGTTGGTGGAGTAGTGGTGAAAGTATCCTGAGAATCGCGATTTGCTCCTGCATTGCGTATATTGGGTGTGATTTCGAAAATGTTTTTTTTTGTACAAAACAGCATTTCCCCCATCCGATCGGGCCCGTTCATTGATGAAACGTCAGAAAGAATTTGGAGCCCCATAATTTGCACGTCAGTCTGCGAAGGCCCCAGATCCAAATGTGAATATCAAAACTCAGTGGTGGTACTGAGGACACCGCTTGTAATGATACATTTTAGAATCCCAAAGGGAAAATCAGGGCACGTTAAACCGAATTGCAATCCGGTGAGAGATAATCGTAGAAAAATCTCAAAACTGATGAAAAATATGCGTTTGCCTTATTCATCAGAATTTCATAACTGTTCTCATTGCTGAATTTTACAATGTCTTTTGCCACAGAAGTTTTTGTGCCCGGGACAAATCACAAGGGATCACGTGATCGTTAGAAGACGAAAAAAATTCACTCTGGTTCCGTTCCTATTTAATGCGAGAAAATGTTGGATGAATTTTCATTGGTTCGTTCACCTTTTACTGATCGAGTTGATTTGTTTCCCCTCTGCTGACGAAGTCCTACTCACTACCTTCTCGTGGGGTGGAGGTGTTTAACGACCAAAGTCAGAGGACGTAGAGCTGATATCCGGGGCTATAACCGGGTTGGTGAACCACTGGCAGTTCATCTAGGGGAGTTGGCCAAAACCCCTGATTCCAAACCAACCATGAGGAGGCGTACGAATCGCACTCACACCTTCTCGGTTGTGGCAGTGGTCACCGGCCCGAATGGGCATCGAGGTGTATTGGGCACATTAGGCGCTTGACCTCGTCCGAAGGGCGAATGATCCGATGAACTGGACATCAACTCTCGATGAATTGCAGTTTTCGCACACCGCACACCGCTGCCTTGCGAATCAGGCTTTGGTTCGCCAAAGGCTCCGGTTGTGGATTCCCCGAGAAAATTCACCTGTCTTGGCCCCGGGGCAACCTGACATTATTCGGCTCCGCAGGAAAATCGTAGGAAGATTTTCTTTATAAAGATTATTGTACCGCGATTTGTTTGGCACACAGTCTGAACTTAGACGTGTGTGATATATATATATATATATATGTATATTTGTCTCCCGGAATGAACTTTTTTAACTTTATAATCATATCGTATCAATCCATATTCGTCGCAGTTTTGTGAAACGATTATTTATTGGGGTTGGGAACTGTTTTTTCAACAACGGGAGTAAATTTCTGCATTCGGATGTGGCTGATTACTGGCACTGTACGATTGAGCGCAATTATTTAGTCCTTCAAAACATTTGATTCGAAAATAACCTAGGACAGCCATTAGTTGCACTCGCGACGGTAGTTATTTGCATTTGATATAAATAGGTCGTCGTCTGTACTAGGGTAAATTACGTAACGTGTGTGTAATTTCCGCCGCAAACAACACCTGGTAATTTTGAATCCAGTTTTCTGTATCCCCGATTGGACTCGAACCTTGAATCTTCGGCCTTACAAGCGCTACACGATTGACGGCCCATAAATAAATCCTGATTTGTAAGTTTGCAGGAGCTAAACCGTGTGGAATCTTAGGAAAGCTTTCACACACAAATAGTAGAGAATAGAAATCCCCAGCAACTGCTGGCCACCCAATGAATGAATATCATTTGGTCCTATCCAGGTTCCGAGATATTTATCACAGCGGAATGAGATGACCCAATCTTTGAATTATGTCAAAGAACGAAGCTTTACCTCATCAGTGAAATGATGTACGTGGCGATTTGCGCTGACAGGTATGACAAGTTGTACAACGAACGGATTGCATAAACGATTGTAAATAGGCAATGAGACTGACTAAAACACCGTGCAGTTTGAACACTTTGTGGTGATAACACGCAGCATAAATACATTCGTACTGCACAAACAGGCTAATCCCGTTTTCCTCAACTGGGTGGTTCTCGTTTTACACACCTGAATTAAAAGTCTTAAATCCCCTTTTTAATTTGGTAATAATAACGACAAAAGAGCGGTTTCAATGTAGCAAAAAACTCACGTGATATGTTGGTAGATTCCATGGGAGGAGGATATGTGGCCGGTTCGATCATTGGAGTCATTACTTGCGTGGAGAACGAGAATGATTCAACACCAGCACCACGGTCACATGCAGCAGAAGCAGCACCACTATCTCGGATATCGATTACCCCTGTGGATGATTGACCTTGATGTGGGAGAAGTTCTATCGGCTCTGTCGGTGATTCCTGTTGAAGATTGATCGGAAATCCAGAGTTGTCATCAGAGAGGTGCAGACAGTTAGCATATGTGAAACAGATATATATATGTATATATATATATATATATATTATCCAAATCAACCCTAAAACAAAATCCTCCACAGAACCACAACGGAATGTGTGTATGGTCAAATGAATCTCGAATAATAAAAGGAACAGAAATAATTAGCCCAATGCACAGCTGAGCCCGAAACGGTTTTCACTGTTTATTAGTTGTCCATGTGCGTTGTAACGATGACCTGGCACGGCGAAAGCATGGGTAATGATACAGCACCTACTCTGACCCCGACTGACCGCATTCCCAACTGAACTGTGGTTGTTGTTTTTCTACATCCCTCGGTGACCTTGATTTCCCGGCATCGGATTGGTGAACACGTGATGGCGCACACAACGCAGTGCACGCGTAATGGCACAGCTCTATCGAATGGGTGGCTGGGTATCTATCTAGCTGACAGGCAGTTCAGCCGGTATTGTTAGGTCCCATGTGCCCCTTCTCTCGACCTACCCCATCCCATCCTCATGTCTCTTTGCTGCTAAAACTCCGACCCTTGTGCACACATCCCCCTCCTACTGCCGTAGAAGAAATCTTGTTTGCTACGCTCTACCGACACACATCCAGACGCCTTGGTTCCGAACCGACTACAAAGCACACACACATCATTTGTGCGCGCATAACACTATGGAGCATCGGAATGTATTCGATCTAAACAAGCAAAGTAAAAATACCAACGCATTCTTTGAATAAAAATCCTAATTTCATCATATGCTGTTGCTTTTTTGGGTCCAATTTAACACCACTGTAATTCTGTTTTTATTTTACTGTTGATATCAGAATAAAAACAAGCAAGTTTTTAGGAAAACCAATTCAGGTAGGAATGATGAAGTGATTTAGGGTATCTCGAGAAAAGCTCGGATGCAGTGTGTGTGTGTGTTCGATTCCTGTCATTGTCACACACCTTTAACACATCTGTATCCTCCCGTAGCTTGGAACTGATCGCAACCTCCATGCGAAAAGTTATAATCGTACAATTTTATGCGATTATAATGTAAGAATAAAATCCCATTTCCGTTTGAATCTGTCCTAGCGTGAGTTTCATAGCGGACGGATAAAATAATGCGACACCAAGCAGTCTGAAAAGGCTTTACTCCGGTGGTTTTCGTATCGCAATTTTGTAGTTCAAAGTTCCTACCCGGAGAACTTCATTCCGCAAACCGAGTAACTTTTACTGTATCGTGAACAAGGACATTGACAGACAGTGCTTTATAAAATGTTCGTTAAAATACATTGTAATTGTGACTGATGCATTCCTTTTGCGTTATTTACGCGCCAGCCAGCTTTTTATAAAGCATTTTGTATCAATTTAGATCAGTGTTTGGACTAGCCCATTCGGTTTTTGACACAGGCACCAGACACTGTTGATGATGATATTCGATTTTCACAAACATTTCCACCGGATTTGAAAATGCATTCAACTAGTGGAGAATTAACTATTTCCGAAGGAGCGAAACCCACACAATGAACATCTTTATCAACGGTAGCTGTGTCCGATGAAAAACCGAAAGGGCTAATCCAAACATTCGCCATCCGAATTGATGGAGCCGTTCGCACATGGCAATGACCGTGTAGCTCACGGGTAAGGGTTTGAAGCCCCTACCCAAATGTTCGCTGTTCGAGTCCTGACAGGGACACACAAAAAGTACGCACCGTTGGCGATTCCTAAACAGCACGAGACGAAAAGGCTGTCCCGGTGCTCTTTGTCGGTTATCACAAACATTTCCATCACATGTAAATGTATTCGATTAGTGGGAAATTAACGACCTACCAAAAGGTGAAACCCATACCAAAAAAGTAGTAGTTCTACCTATAAGGTCCTGAGTTCGCAATCCCCAGTTGGATCGATGGATTCGCACGCTATTGATGAAACCCAACTACGTCGAAACAGTTGTCCAGTGCCTCCTAGCTTTTCAGTTTACGCTTCATTCGCTCTATGCAAGACGAATTTCCTCCATAGAAATGCTTTTGATTACCATAATCGATTGCATACGTATCGCATTAAAAGAAAACAAACAAATATGAAATGAATTAGGAACTTTGGTTGGGTTTGGTGAATAGGCGAGTGACGGTTACATGTCATTGGTTGAAGCCAAGGCTAGTCATACACAGATGTGGATTCGCTGTGGGTGATCGAGAATACCTCTTGTATCCTTAGCCAGTGTTTATAGCAATTTGAAGTTGCCCCGAGATTCACACGGTTCGGAACTTATCAGATCAGGTCTAGAGTTGATAGGTAGGTCAATTAGCAGTGTTTAGTTTTACAACAAGCATATTGAGATACTGAGCCAGACAAAATTAAAAAAAAATTGAAATCAGCTAGACATCAGCTTTTTCAACTACAGACAATGGATTATGTAATTCTACGGAGAAATGCTCCATATCAACAAACAGAATTGTGAAAGGCCGAGGTATGAGAGAACTACAAGGTGAACAACTTTGGGCGTGTGGATGA